GGACAGAATTATTCTTTTAATAATGATAGATATATAAAAATAATAGAATTATTTATGGGAAGAAGTAGCTTTTGACTTGACCACTGTAGAAACTTTAAAGGGGCGTGTGTGTGTGTGTGTGTGTGTGTGTGCAGGGAATATGATACTTATGATGCACGTTCAACGGTTAGTTTCTATTCTACTTCATATTTTAAGGACACTGTGATAAGCCATTCTGCCACTTTTAAAAAGCAGCACGACAAGGTAAAATAGAGAACCTATTTACAAGGTTAATAACAGTAACAATCAATCCTCCCACTCTAAAATAGACAGTCCCTGAAGTTGTTGCACACATGCCTGCATTTAAACAGTTCTAATAATATTGAAACATATCACACCGCATTGAACTATCTTAAAAAATACATTACATTTGAATTTTTGGAGACAAATGCAAAGGCTTTTCAGAAAAGTAAACAAAGTTTGAGTAAATGCACAGAGTTGAGAACAACACCTGGGGGGGGAAAAGCCATTATTATTTTATTCACTTATTTATTCAATCATCCACTTAACAAATTTGTAGTAAATTCTTACTCTATGCCAGATATTGTTGTACTGTGTTTAAGGAATAAATACGTGACTAAAACCTAGTCCCTAACCTTAAAGAACTCAAAAGTGAAAGAGAAAGTACAAGAGAATGACAGATAAAAAGGTAACCGCATTAATAATATGATGGATGCTATAAAACACAGAGGGCGAAATGATTAATTAGTTCAGAAAAGGCTTCACAGAGTAAGTGACATTAAAGCGGGCTGTTGAAGGATGATGGGTTACTCAGATGAATGGGGGACGCAGCTAAATAAAAAGGGCAAAGCCAGACAGAGGAAACGTGGGGGGAAAGCCACCCTGAATCCTCGGTGATCGGACTGCAGTTTGTTCGTAATAAATAGTAGCAGACACAATGACATAATAAATGCAGTGTCTTGGGAAAATTAACTTATCTGCGGTATACAGGGTGACTTGATGTATATAGAGGCAGGAGACAGGAAGTGGCTTTTGTACCAAGTGGGAATGTGGCGAAGATGTATTAAAACAAGCTGCTGCTGAAGGCCACTGGATCTGTGTATTCTGAATGGAAAATCAACTGACACTGATGCTGCGACACCTTGGCCGCCTTAGTGGATGCTGGAGAGGAAGGACTAAGAGATAACCACGTGGCTTCTAGACTTGAAATTTTTTTAAAGGGGGGTGGCTATTGACAGAAATAGAGAAGTGAAAAAAAGTTTGGTCGGATGGGCAAGTGAAAAGATCAGCTTTAGACATTGCAAGGAATGTGACAATGAACATCCAAAAACAATATGCTTTAGAAGCAACTGAAAGTGAAAGCCTGGGTCTGAGATAAGGTGCCGAGGGCTAAGCAACTTTCGGCAATAAATTTTAGTTTGCATTAAAATATAAATGAAGTCTCAGAAAGAACTCTTTTTATTATTTCTTATAATATTAGCATTTCATATATTGGCATTTAGTAATACATGTAAAGGGAGTTATTAAGAACTCTAATCATGGCATTAGATGATACGCCTGAGAAATGACATTCCTTGATGTCTCAGAATGGCTGCCTAGATGTCAAGGTCTGAAGGGTTAAAAGTGAATATGCCTGGTCTAGCCATAGTCACGATGACGAGTGGCAAAATAGGAAATACTATTGAAAGGTAGGGCTGTCAGCAAGTTCCCATAAGAAGGCTGACTAATTTTAGTGGCAATAAATATCAAGCAGACACTCTGTCACCAGAAAAGAAAGAAGAAAAAATCAGAGTAATCTGAATTGAGATAAAAGAAAGTCAGATACATCAAACCAGACAAGGAAGATGAGAGCCAAGCCTGAGCCAATTCAGGCAGCGGTGAGGTGCTCACAGGCATTAAAAGAGCAGAAAGAATTGCTCAGAGCAACCATGGGTGGCACCAGGGCAGCCACCAGGACTCAATATTTTTTTGTTTGTTTATTTTGTTCATTAGATTCCACATATAAGTGAAATCATATGGTATTTG